CAATGAGATCCAGAACAGAAAACTCCTGTCTCTATGCTTCAGTAAGGTAGCAAAGTTCCTCCATGAAGGAGGAAGCTTAGTGATGATACACCTGGCAACAAACTTGTCCGGTAGCATGCAATTGAAGTGCTCAAGTTCTCTAGCAAATGACTGTATCTCATGAGCCTGCTCAACCACGGAGCGCTCTTCAATCATCCTGTAATCATAGAATTGCTCCATGATGTACAGCTCAGTGCCGGCATCCGAGACCGCAAACTTGGCCTCGAGTGCGTCCCACGTATCTTTTCCATTGTCAATTGACGCATAAGCATCAACTATGTTCTCACCAAGAACACTCAAGAGAGCAGCCTTAAACAGAGTATCCATTTTCTAAAAAGCTTGTGCCTGTTGAGCATCAAGTTCTCCTTCAGGTCTGCCAAGAGTGGCGTCATAGCAACTCATGGTTTGAAACCATAAGACTGCTCTCACGCGCCACCTCTTATAGTGGATAACCTCAAACATAGGAGGTCTCAGGGAAGTAGCAAAACCACTTGGGGTAAATTGCCTATAATAAGGTTTTTGGATTGTTGGAAAATGAGCAATTTACCGAGTAATTTTATTAACAGAAATACTAGATAAAGCATGACTTGTATAGAAGTGATAAAACAAGCCATGCGATTTGACAAAGAGAAGGTAAACAATATCTTCATATATGAACCGTAACTAAACATATCTTGAGCAGACAGTATAGCAAGTTGCATATATGAAATAGAGTCTAACATATCTAGGGCAAATAATAGAACAAGGAACTGTAGCAGAACCTGTAATAGAAAGGGGACGAACACGTACGGGGCAGCAGCAACAGAAGTGCTGGACTTGGGGTCGGTGTACTCGCCAGACATGTCGTCGAGGAGGTCGTGGACGTCGGGGAAGAAGTCGTCGTCGGGGAAGTAGTCGTCGGAGTCCGGGGCGTCTGTGACGAGGAAGTCAGTAGTCGCGTGAAGCGCTCCCCAAAAACCTTATCACCCTTCTCCCGTACATGACTCAAAAGGTGCAGTTTCGGAGGCCTACTGTCCCGACCTGTGGTGCACGCCGCAAGCCGGGATGGGGAAGAATGTAGCAGCAACGCAGTGCTCAGGAATTGTGTGGCGAGAGGAAGAGGACCTTCTGATGTGTCTCTCTGGAGAGGAGCGACCTCTCTTATATAGGCACAGGAGAGGGACGCGAACAGGCTGCGACGGGAGGTGAAGCAACGGAGGGAGACGAAGTGAACAGGCTGCACGCGAAGAGGTGCGCCGTTCGTATTCATTATCCACTATTGCAAAAACTTTTTAGCTCCCAAGTGACCTTTCGTATACCCGTAGTGCGCGGCAAAAATTAGACATCGGCTCGGCTCATTCCCGCAACCCGCGGCGCGGCGCGGCGCGGTGCGTCGTGACGAGGCGGGCGGCGGAGGAGGAGCGCGCGTGGATGTCCCCCTTGTTCTCATGCTCATACAAGTGGGGAAAGAACCTCCCTTATAAGGAGGTCCAACTCCCACTAAACTAGCAATATGGGACTAAACTTTAGTAGTATCCCTTGCCTTGCACAAATGGGCTAAGTTGGCCTCTAGGATTTATTTAGGAATTTCTGAAATAGTTACTATATATATATATATATATATATGAAGCATAAAAGATGGATAAGCAAGATGAAGATTTACTCAAAGTACTTACTGCAGGGGCCGGGTTAGAAATGCAGAAAGGCCTCAGCTCCGTCTTATTGCAGGCTTCTTGAGTCTCCCCAAGTAGTGACTTAACCATTTCATTAATCTCCCTATCAGTCAGAGGTTTTTGATTATAGCGTTGCGGGTCCTTCACATCACCAGTGTATTGGCACATTAAGCCGCTACGCCAACTCAGCGGCAAGATCCTCCATGAGACCCAACAGCGGGTCAAGTTGACTCTGGTTAAGCCATTGGCTATTAAAGCCCTTATCTTTGAAAATATGTGCGCATACTGAGCGTGTTATGTGGCGGTTAATCGACTAGGAAGCTCGCTGGCGGTACTGAGCCAGTAGGGGTGACAACCTGACAAGGGGTTTTCTTCAGCCGGAGAAGTGTTTCTACAATAGAACCAAGTGTAGTTCTAGCCCTTGGGATGGCTTGGCAGTACAACTGAGGAAAAGGTTACATCTCTCCGCCTCTGGATGGAAACACCTCCAAGCTCTAGACTGGGTCCGTCTATCATTTCAGTCTGGCGGTTGATATAAAAGAAATCTTTGAAGAGAAAACAGTGGGCTCTTCTTGCAGATACACTTCACATAATACTTGAAATTGGCACAGATTGGAGACGGAGTTGGGGCCGATATCTTGAGGATGAAGCTTGTAAAAATGTAGAGTGTCCCGGATTTTTTTGACCCAGGTGGTGAAAAGCCACGGAGGAGGTGATCCGTAAAAAATACAACTTCACCCTCTTCGGGTCGAGGAATAGTCTCAGGACCGGGAACCCGCCAGTTGATAACTTCTTTAGCCGGCAAAACCCCCATGTCCACATAATCTTTGAGCATGAGTTCTGAGACTTGGGAGGCTACCCAGTCACAAGAAGTGGGAGCCTTAAACATGATTGGCCGGGTTAAAATTTGCGGATAAGGAATAAGAGTATGGCTGGTTAAAACTGCAATGATAAGCCACCTAAGTGATTACATGACATCTCAGCAGTTATAGGCCAGTTATGACTATAAGATGACAACACGTTATGGTGAACCATTGAGAAATTATGAGCCGCCCTAACTATGAGAGTGAGGTGACTATCAGGCCGTTAAATACGGCGGGTTAAATTATGAAAGTATAAGCCGGTAGCATGCTGGCAGGTCATCTAAGCATCAACTTATTGAAGCTACACGTGTTTGAGTGTGCGAGTCTGGTTGCTTCTAATTTTCTTCAAAGAGATCCTTCTTGCTATTGCTTCTTCCTGGCAACTTGTGCTTCCTGTATTCGTGCCCAACCTCAGGCACGTTTCAATGCATCATCAGGTGTTCTTATCAGCCAACTTGTTCAGCAACAACACCATAACTCTAGCATTGTTAGTGTATTCGATCTCTTGCTGCACATACTACATCAGACTTGTTGTCCCACATTCACTCTTGATGATGTTTGCAAGGAGAAAAATTCACAAAATATTATTATGTGGCCTTCTAATCTGTTGCTGAACCGATGCCTTAAATCCCACATGGTTCATAGAGAAACATGTTCAAAAATGTTGCAATCATCGCATATTCACTGTGTACAACCAAAATGTTACTTTGAGGTTGGCCTAGCTCAAGAAAATCTACAACTGAATGAAGTCAGTGCTATTGTCGTTGACTGGGAGATACTTCTCTGTTGCAAGCATCCACCTGATCCAACTGCCCCGTTCCCGCATGAGCCGCAACTGCTTGGGTGTACCAGTTCAATTGCTACTGATTTTATTTGGCGAGTTCCTTATGCCTATTGCTCCTGTTATGTGCTTCAGTCTGGCTATATGTCCATCGCGGTGTGTGAAGCTATACCATATAAACTGGCGACATTTCTGCATCCTCTGTTGGACATCTCCTAGCTGCAACCTGAGGACCACAGCAAAAGGCGCCACCTGCTTCTGGCTCTGAAACGATGGCAGCTTAGTTGCTATGAACATCCATGGCAGTGTGTAGTGTTTGGGCTGCTATATGAAGTAATCTGCTGTGGTGAGGCCAGTCCTTATGGTGGGAATTTGGAAATTCTAAGATTGCTTGCTGCTCGGACCGTACAATATGCAACAGAGCTAATGTATTCTCCTGATACTTCTGCTAGTGACAATCACTTTGAGCAATTGTGGGATTCTGGAGGCCTTGCGAGCTACATATGCAGTACATGTGCATTGACTCTCCTGATGCATTACCTGTTTAAAGTCTGGCTTGCATATGCGACTCCTATATGCATCCACTTGAGAATGGAGAAGCCAATGGCCAGCGGCGAACTAAATCAGTGGATGACCATCCATTTCTTGCCTGGAACATTGGAGCTTGATTGCAGACTTGACAAGCTCATAACACTATGGGGGTTATTGCTTCCATTTTATTATCAGTCATGCAAGTCCACGAGGAGCGGAAAAATCTGTGTCGCACCTGATGATTTAGGGAGCTTCACGGACGTCCAGGAAGGCTATAGGACTTCAACTTCCAATCAAGAAACTTTTCAAGGAGGGAGGGATTTCATCACCAGTGTCGCTGTCGTCGTCGTGCAGGGCTCCATCGACCACAAGTACTACCTCAGCTTCGATCAAGACTATGTTGGCAACGACCACTTCCGCGGTGCCTCTTGGGATGGAGTCACAAACGGCAACTACCACCTCGTCGTTCAATTCAACCTCGACTTCGACTACCATCCTGACTTCAAGCTAGTCAAGGAAGACCAAGTGCAATGGGATCCCGACGGTTTTCGGTGGTGTCGACTTGAGGTTAAGCCGCATTTCAAGGAGGGAGGGATGTTAGGAACCCTCCTACCATCATGTGCTTGGGCTGGCCCCTTGGGCCAGCTAAGGGGGCCTGGTCCGCTCGGAAACCACGAAAGCGATAAGAGCCTGGGAGGAGGCGACGTCAAGGGCATCCAGTGGATCAACGAACCGGCGGCGGCGGCTACCTCTCTTCCCTATCTCCTTCCTTTCCCTTTCCTCCAGTTCATGTGTTCTTCCTCCATTGGTGTAACCATTCCTCTGTAATCATCATCATGTGGTCAACCTTGTGTTGAAGTGAGATTAATCTAGAGGGAGATCACTACTTTTACATATCATGGTAAACGCATGGGCACGTGGTACCGAGGAAAAAAAAAGCAGCTCACTGGATCGGAGAGAAAAAAAAACTGCCCGTTGGATTCACGAGTCGCCGATTGCCGCTTCGAGCGGCTCCCGAAAATTTGAAAAACGACACCAGGCTCCTCCAAAACGGAGACCCCAAGCGGTGCGAGTAACCCCCGCAAATCCCCCGAACCCGATCCCCTTTCCCTCGCCGCCGTCCTTCCCCACGAGATGCCGCCCGCCGAGGACGCCTCCGCTGCCGCCCCCCCGCAGGCGCCGACTCCGCCTCCCGCCCGTGGGATGGCGGTCGGCTCGAGGCTGCTGCTGCAGTCGCCGCCGCCTGCGTTCCCGCTCGGCTCGAGGCTGCTGCTGCAGTCGCCGCCGCCTGCGTTCCCGCTCGGCTCCAACGACGACCAGCTCGAGCGCGCTCGCGCTCGCGCCATGGCCCGCGCGGCCTCCGTCCGTCGACGCTCCCTTGCCGCATCTCTCGCGCCCAAGACCTCGCATCCCAACCTCCTCAACCGGGACGAGGTCATGGACCTATTCCATAACTGCATCAAACTCGCCTCGGAGAACGTACGTGCCTCACTCACCGTCAAAACCCTACATCGCTCCTGGATCTTACTAAGCTTGTTTTTTTTTTCTTTTCTATCTGTGGAAATTTGGCAGAAAATCAACCAGAAGAATACGTGGGAGCTGGGGCTCATCGACCACCTCAGCGAGATCATCCATGCCGGGGAGGAGGAGGACGACGAGACCAACTTCCAGAAAGTGCGCGTGATATGATCTTCCGTTTCCTTTCTTAGTTTCAATTTGGGAACAGCTTTGTGTTTCTTTTTCTTATAAAATCATAAGATCGAGGAAACAAATTATGGTTTTGCGACCAGGCTAGCTGCACGCTAGAGGCTGGCGTCAAGATCTATTCTCTGCGTGTGGATTCGGTGCACTCTGAGGCGTACAAGGTGCTTGGTGGGATCAACCGCGCAGGAAGGGGGGAAGAGGCTGGTATGTATCCACTTGCGTTGTTAGTATCTTTTAGTTGTGCAACAACAACAACAACAAAGCCTTTAGTCCCAAACAAGTTGGGGTAGGCTAGAGGTGAAACCCATAAGATCTCGCAACCAACTCATGGCTCTGGCACATGGATAGCAAGCTTCCACGTACCCCTGTCCATAGCTAGCCCTTTGTCGATACTCCAATCCTTCAGATCTCTCTTGACGGACTCCTCCCATGTCAAATTCGGTCGACCCCGCCCTCTCTTAACATTCTCCGCACGCTTTAGCCGTCCGCTATGCACTAGAGCTTCTGGAGGCCTGCGCTGAATATGCCCAAACCATCTCAGACGATGTTGGACAAGCTTCTCCTCAATTGGTGCTACCCCAACTCTATCTCGTATATCATCATTCCGGACTCGATCCTTTCTCGTGTGGCCACACATCCATCTCAATATACGCATCTCCGCCACACCTAACTGTTGAACATGTCGCCTTTTAGTCGGCCAACACTCCGCGCCATACAACATTGCGGGTCGAACCGCCGTCCTGTAGAACTTTCCTTTTAGCTTTTGTGGCACTCTCTTGTCACAGAGAATGCCAGAAGCTTGGCGCCACTTCATCCATCCGGCTTTGATTCGATGGTTCACATCTTCATCAATACCCCCATCCTCTTGCAACATTGACCCCAAATACCGAAAGGTGTCCTTCCGAGGTACCACCTGGCCATCAAGGCTAACCTCCTCCTCCTCACACCTAGTAGTACTGAAGCCGCACATCATGTACTCGGTTTTAGTTCTACTAAGCCTAAACCCTTTCGATTCCAAGGTTTGTCTCCATAACTCTAACTTCCCATTTACCCCCGTCCGACTATCATCAACTAGCACCACATCATCCGCAAAGAGCATACACCATGGGATATCTCCTTGTATATCCCTTCTGACCTCATCCATCACCAATGCAAAAAGATAAGGACTCAAAGCTGACCCCTGATGCAGTCCTATCTTAATCGGGAAGTCATCGGTGTCGACATCACTTGTTCGAACACTTGTCACAACATTATCGTACATGTCCTTGATGAGGGTAATGTACTTTGCTGGAACTTTGTGTTTCTCCAAGGCCCAGCACATGACATTCCGCGGTATCTTATCATAGGCCTTCTCCAAGTCAATGAACACCATATGCAAGTCCTTCTTTTGCTCCCTATATCTCTCCATAAGTTGTCGTACCAAGAAAATGGCTTCCATGGTCGACCTCCCAGGCATGAAACCAAACTGATTTTTGGTCACGCTTGTCATTCTTCTTAAGTGGTGCTCAATGACTCTCTCCCATAGCTTCATTGTATGGCTCATCAGCTTAATTCCACGGTAATTAGTACAACTCTGAACATCCCCCTTGTTCTTGAAGATTGGTACTAATATACTCCGTCTCCATTCTTCTGGCATCTTGTTTGCCCGAAAAATGAGGTTGAAAAGCTTGGTTAGCCATACTATCGCTATGTCCCCGAGACCTTTCCACACCTCAATGGGGATACAATCAGGGCCCATCGCCTTGCCTCCTTTCATCCTTTTTAAAGCCTGCTTCACCTCAGACTCCTGGATGCGCCGCACAAAACGCATGCTGGTCTCATCAAAGGAGTCGTCCAGTTCAATGGTAGAACTCTCATTCTCCCCATTGAACAGCTTGTCGAAGTACTCCCGCCATCTATGCTTAATCTCCTCGTCCTTCACCAAGAGTTGGCCTGCTCCGTCCTTGATGCATTTGACTTGGCCAATATCCCTCGTCTTCCTCTCCCGGATCTTAGCCATCTTATAGATGTCCCTTTCACCTTCCTTCATGCCTAACCGTTGGTAGAGGTCCTCATATGCCCGACCCCTTGCTTCACCAACAGCTCGCTTTGCGGCCTTCTTCGCCATCTTGTACTTCTCTATGTTGTCTGCACTCCTATCCAGGTATAGGCGTCTGAAGCAATCTTTCTTCTCTTTAATCGCCTTCTGGACATCATCATTCCACCACCAGGTATCCTTATCTTCGCTTCTCCTTCCCCTGGACACTCCAAACTCCTCCGAGGCCACCTTACGGATGCAAGTCGCCATCTTCATCCACACATTGTCCGCATCCCCTCCTTCCTCCCAAGGGCCTTCCTTAATTACCCTCTCCTTGAACACCTGAGCTACCTCCCCCTTGAGCTTCCACCACTTCGTTCTAGCGACTTTGGCACGCTTATCCCGCTGGACACGAATCCGAAAGCGGAAGTCAGCAACCACCAGCTTATGCTGGGGTACAACACTCTCTCTAGGTATCACCTTACAGTCTAGGCACGCATGCCTATCTTCTCTTCTCGAGAGGATGAAATCAATCTGGCTAGAGTGTTGGCCACTATTAAAAGTCACCAGATGTGATTCTCTCTTTCTAAAGAGGGTGTTAGCTACAATCATGTTGTAGGCTAGAGCAAAGCTTAAGACATCTTCTCCTTCTTGATTCCTGATGCCATAGCCAAAGCCCCCATGCGCCCCTTCAAAACCTGTGTTAGATGTACCCACGTGGCCATTGAGGTCTCCTCCTATGAAGAGCTTCTCACCAATTGGTACACTCCTAACCATGTCTTCCAAGCCTTCCCAGAACTCCCTCTTGGTGTTCTCATTGTGGCCTACTTGCGGGGCATACGCGTTGATAACATTGAGAATCAAGTCCTCAACTACCAGCTTGACCAGGATAGTCCGGTCCCCACGTCTCTTGACGTCTACCACTCCATACTTGAGGCTCTTGTTGATCAAGATGCCTATGCCATTTCTGTTTGCAGCCGTCCCCGTGTACCACAGCTTGAAGCCGGTATCCTCCACCTCCTTCGCCTTCTGTCCTCTCCATTTGGTTTCTTGGACGCAAAGGATATCAACACCTCTCCTCACCGCTGCATCAACTAGCTCCCGAAGCTTCCCTGTCAGAGACCCTACGTTCCAACTACCTAAGCGAATCCTCCTAGGCTCGGCTAGCTTCCTTACCCTTCGCACTTGTCGAGTCAAATGCGAAGACCCTTGCTCATTTTCCACTACATCCGGGCGCCGATGTAGCGCGCCACTAAGGATGCGACGACCCGATCCTCGCTCACTTGCCACCGTATCCGGATCAAGATACGGCGCGCCACTTGAGGGGTGACGGCCCGGCCCTTGCCCATTTTCCACCACACCCGGGTTCCGATGTGGCGCGTCGCTGAGAGGGTTACGCCCCAACGGAAATCTTTTGGGTTTCATCTCCATAAGAGTGGCTGAGTTTTTACGTTGGCTCGCCAAGCCTATCACAACCCTCCTCCTTTACCCGGGCTTGGGACCGGCTATGTTGAGACAACATAGGCGGAGTTATCTTCTAGTTGTGCACCAATTTGAATTTATTTGTCTCGTTTAAGAGGCTGGTATGTATCACTTGCGTTGTTAGTATCTTCTAATTGTGCACCAATTTGAATTTATTTGTCTTGTTTAAGCGGCTTGGTATAAATTGCAAATACTCTTATAATGCTGGAAACCAACTTTGCAAGCTAAACTCTGAAGTAAGCTGTCATACATGACGTCCGTTTGTGGTTTACTGATAAGATCAGTTTCTAAACTGATGCAAAGGAAAATAAGAACATCTTTTAGGTTTTTAATTTAAAAATATCACCATATCAGGACGACCTTAGCACCTTTTTGTTAAGGTAATAATTACAGTGCAATATTACCATTTCTTTGGGAAACCACTCAGTGCTACATTACCATGTTACGCTGGTTTACACGAGTGTGCACTTTGCATGAGGCATCAACCTTCTGAGAATGACGTAGGTTTGGTTTGGTACATCTTTTTTGTTTTATATTGTTATATGACTATTGTTGTGAATTCCCTATCTGTTTACTATTGTCATAAACTTAGCTTTGTGTTCATAGTTGCAAGTTTAATAACCATATAAAAATATAAGCTACACAACTACATTACAGTGTTTTGATTTGGAAATTGTAACAAGATTTGGGAGAAGGTGGCGATGCAGAGCCTGCACAAGAAGAAGGCGTCAACAAAAAGGATGTTGATAGGAGGGTACACTTCTTTAATACGATTTTTCACTACCTGCACTTCACTTGTCCTTTATCTTGCCAATGCTGTTTCGGCTATGCAGATTTCACCTGCTTCGACGCTGGAGTCCTCGTTTGAGGCTCTTAATGTGAAGAAGTTTGATGGTATGTTTCAAACCTTTTCTCATTGTGCTTCTGTGGAATTTATTAATTCTATAATGGGGCTGAAACTACAAGGTCATTTTATTTGCAATTATAGCTGCCTTCACGGTGGATCCTCTATACCATCAGACCACTGCTCAGTTTGATGAAGGTGGAGCAAAGGGGCTCTTATTGTATAATCTTGGAGTATATGGCAGTTGTTGTGTGCTTTTTGATTCGTTTGAAGCGCCAGACAAATGCATCTTATCTGATCCTGAGAAGGCTGAGGTGATTGATCTTTCATTTGCTAAAGGTAATATCAGTTTGTCGCTCTGCTGTGTATGCTCTTTACATGTTGCTTCCAATGGGATTTTAGTGAGTTGCTACTACTCTTTGACAGAACAAATTGAGCAAATGATAGTTCACATGCCTCTATCCAATGACATCTCTCCTACCTTGAGGGATATCGTGGCTCAGTTTGATGAAGAAAATAAAAGGCCATCACATGATGCATCTTCCGGGCAAATGCTGGTGATGGAAGATCAGGTGGTTGACAGTAATGATGACAGCATGCCACCTGATTGTGGAACTTGGGATTTTGGTGGTTGTGATGATCAGGACAGTGCATATGATGAAAACTGCAACCCAATGAATTTCAACTCAACAAACTATGAAGAGGTACTTGTAAACTCAGAAAAATAGTTACTACCTGGTTAGGGAACTATCTGTTGTTTACTTGTGCATTATGTACTTATCCATGCACTCCCTCCATTCCACAATAGAAATCCTCTTAGCCTCTCGAACTTTCCTCAAAATACTGGTCTTTCTAAACTTACAACGCAACTTTAGTGACGGTGTTCCAGTTTATTGCTTCATCAATGCCATCAAGAAAAGAGTTAATTAATCCTTCTTGACTTCTTGTGATTCTGTGTCTTGCTTTTAGGAGGAAAAAGAGGCAATTTAATTCCTTGGTGATAAAAAAGATAAGGGCATGAAAATAACTGAAGGGTAACATGGACATCTCACTCACACTCTTAACTCTTGTGTCCAACTCCCAAACGATATCTTTAGAAATGAGGGAGTATTTGAAGGCATATGAGGAAAAGTTAATTAGTCATAGGGTAGAATTATTGTTTTACATTTTGTATCTTGTACCTCAAGCATTTCTTTTGTTGTTATAATCTGCTGCCTACAACTGAGTATTGCTATTTCTCTTCTATTAGAACAATACCCACATTCAAGGTAGTACAAAAGAACAGTTATAGTTTGTTACAGGTTCAAAGCTCCAAACCTGATTCTACAAATTTGTTGTCTTGACTGTGTATTGGTATACAGGGAACCGATGACTGTGAGTACACTTTCCAGGGTCCAGACGGTCCTGATGTAGATGAAAGGCTCGAGAAAATTGCAGATTTGTTGTCACTCGGCGCGGGATTCTCTTCCAAAACAAATGCTTGGGCTGGACCCGAGCATTGGAAATATCGAAAAGTTAGAGGTAAACCCTGGCTAGTCCTATTTTGATTCCATTTCAAACTAGTTTATTTAATACTGAGCTTACCATTGTCTAGATCTGGAGCCTGCCCAAACTTCTTCTGGTGATTTGGAAGTAGCAAAAAAGGCAAAGAAGAAGAAAGGCAAAGAGGAGCCTGATATTGATTTCACCAAAGCATTGGAACATGAGAAGGCAAATGTTTTTGCACCTCCCAAGAACCCAAAATCATTGTTGCTGCCTGCAAATAAGGGTAGCTGCAACAATAAACTTCCAGAGGATTGCCATTACCAACTCGAAAGCCTTGTTAAATTATTTCTTCTTCCAGATATTTTGGTAATGCTTACTTCCATGAAAATTATTCTTGATACGGGCCTAGGATCGGCTGTAATAACTGTGCGCCTTTTTTTGCAGTGTCTGGCTCGGAGAAGAAGAAAACCACTTGGTAAGTTTTGTTACATTCTCGCATTCTGTATTTGAATTGAAGTTTTTTCTTCCTGCTTAAGACTTTATTGTACTTCTTTCTGGACCTGCAAAAAATTGAAGTTTGAAAACAATAGGTTTACTTTTTTTCTTTCTATTTATACTATATGTGTCTTTACAAGTTAAAATTGTTGTTCCTCGTGTATCATATTGCATTATTGTACTTCTTTCTGGACTTGCTGGTTTTGATTAAAGACTTTATTGCTCTATTTACACAATCCGGGAAAGATTTAATCTGTTATGAACATTGATGTTAGTAGGTAGCATTCCGTTAGCAGTATGTCTCAGCTTACAGTTGATTTTGTAATCTAAAAAAATGGTAGCCCGGTGCACGTATCTCCCGCTTGCGCAGGGTCCGGGGAAGGGTCCGACCACTTTGTCTTTTGTACGCAGCCTTTCCCTGCATTTCTGGAAGAGGCTGTTTCCAGGAAATTATTTTATAATCTGCTGCAGAAAAATAGACTCAAAAGTAAAAAAAAAGTCAAGGAAATGATAATTTTGATAAAATCTGGCTAGATGATCCCATTTATCAGAATACACCGCAATGCGAAACAAAGCTTGCAGCTCATACTAGGTTATGCCTTCATGAGTACTGTTTGCCTATATTTCTGTTGATGTGATTTTGTTGTTTTTTCTGACATCATTTATCTGGTACAATGGTCCACGGTGCCTTTGACCTCCTTATAGATGATTCAAGGGACAACAGCGATGACTTTATGCCATCCAGACCTTGGGATGATGATGACCTGGGCAATGATCATGTTGATGAAGGGGATGCGGCTAGTGATGTGGAAGAGCCAGTAAATCTTATTGCCAAACCAAGACAGGTGCATCCTCTGCCCCTTCTGCTTTAATTACATTCATCTCTATGTACTTATATTTGGACGTTGTCCTGTATGTTTATCTTTCTGTGTCCATCTGAATGTCAATGGCCAGAAAAATCATCAAATGAACAATATTGTAGGCTTAAATGGCAGATAGTGGTTTAATCTCCACCGAGCAATTACTATCACCGGCTGTATTTAGTGCTTGTGATTGTCTTTGCCATATTATGTTACAAGTTTACAGTAATATACTGATCCAAGGTCAAGACATGTATAGCAAACAATATTGAAATAAGCAGTTGGAAATTTGCTACATGGCTCCAAGATACACATTTCCATATTTCACTTTAATTGTTTGAGGATCCAAGTCAGGCAGTGGGTTGTATGCACTAAGAGCATTACTAGTAGAACCCCTAAACCCTCAAACCCTTGTAGCAGTTTTAAGGGTTGAGAAGTGCCACTTTTTGACACTTTTAAGGGTTGAAAAACAAGGGCAAAGACTAGAACCCTCAAACCCAACCCTTAAACTGCTTTAAGGGTTGGATTTGAGGGTTCTAGTCTTTGCGTCAACCCCAACCTTTAAAACTGTCATTGAACCAGCTGTCTTCTTTGAACTATACTGCCAAAAGTGAGTTCTACTATTGAAACTTCTAAAAACTGAAACTAAGCTGGATTTTGCTAGTACTGCACATGTTCAGAAAGAAGCAATTAAGCACAACACACATGGATCCATCCATCGTAATTGCTAAATCCATCCAGCGCAACACGCAAGGAGATTAGCAAGTAAAATTTGCTGCCGCCGTAGATACTTTGCCGCATCTGTGATTGCTGCCAGTAGGCTTTCAGATTCAGAGGATAATCAAGAACATGCAGCCTTCTGATACGCACGTGCTGCACGGCCACTGGAGCCTGGAGGCACGCGCAGGCCGGCGTTGCTCCCGCACGGCGCAGCTGCAGCGCGGGTGAAGAAGAGGCGCGTGGTCATCTCCCACGTGTGAAGCACGGGCGAGGTCGAAGCGGGATCAGTCGCCGGCCACGCAGGACGATGGGGCTCACGCGGGGACGGCCATGGCGGCTTTGGATCGGGCCCCGGAGGCCCTCGAGGCCAAATCCGACCGGGAGCTTGTGCTCTGCCTCGTCCGGATCAGCGGAGCTGACGGATTTGATGGGAGGCGGGAGGGCGGCCGGGCCGCG